TGGCCAGGCTCCTGCTGGCTTTCTCACGGACATCTCCATATTTTATAGCTGCAGCCTTGGCATGTGCGCTGTGGCGGAAAGAGCGGTTTTGGGATGACTGCACTGTGTCAGTGGCCAGGCGCGCGCTAGCTGGAAGAACAAGTCTTGCTGTCGGTTTGCTATGGGTGCTCAGGAAAAAAAAGAATCAGCTATTTTGACTTCTAACAATTGCAGAATCAGAAGGAATTTGAGGACATAAATACAATCTAATGGACTGTAAGGTGCTGGGGAAGCACACACCTTTATGAAACTCAGGTTATTAGATGGGATGACTTGTGGCGGGATACTGATCTGTTCCCCTGACTATACCATCAGAAGGACAGCAATACAACTAGTTGCAGGGGGCTTCATAAAGAAGCGCTATGGCTGACCACACATTTTTCTTGTAGATTGCTACATCTAGTGATAAACAGGAAGATCTCTCACTGCTCACTTAGATCTCTACTGCTGGGAAATCTCATCATGCTAGGAGGGGTGGAGATACAACTACTGCAAGGAATCTTACCAATGTGTCTGGGGGCAAAGACACAAACTACCTCATGGAAATCTCATTATTGAGGGGGGAAGAAACAAACAACTGTAGGGAAATCTCACCATTGTGGGAGGAGCAGACACATTATCGGTGCACTCCCAACATATAGGAGTCAACAAGTCCAAACCTGGAGCCAAAAGACATTTTATTTAGTAGCCAGGAGATACATGTTTACACTGAAAAAGTTCTGAAACGTGCAACTTGTTTTATAAAATAATTATCAATCTACAGTTCAAGTAAAGAAGAGTGAATGTAGCCAGCCAAAGATAAAATATGACATGTATAGGTGTGTTTAATAGTGTGCATTATAGCATTATTTACACCATTAGTAATCTGCATGATACAAAATACTTAGGCAAAAGGTCCAGTCAGGAAAAAAGTCAGTCAGAGAAGGAGGAACCAAATTATATGAATAGCATGTTGAATAACATTGTTAATTAAAAGAGAGAACTGAAAATTTGTATGAAACCCACAGAATGCACAGGGAATGGAGAATGTATAGTGGGTTGCTGCAATAACAGAAGTGTATTTAGGTCAGTAGAGGTGTCCGAGAAAATCGCAGGTGTCACAAGTGTGAATAGTGGCAGCAGCAAAGGAACAGAAACTTAGACAGGAAGTGCAAGACGACATTGGTCAGTACTGACTGAGAAAGACAGTGTGTAAAAAGAGAAAATGTGGGGTGAGATCAGGGTGTGAAAGAGAGAGGGATACAATGACCTGATTATCACAGGTCATGTGATGGCATAGTCTGCAACATGCTGAAAGAAATAAGCTGTAAAAAAGGAAACACATTGTCAGGGCTAAGTGGCCCATGGCAGAGCAGCAGTGACCCATTATATCAGTACCAGTGGATAATAGGGAGCAGAGACCACAGTTATGGCAGATCAGGTAATTTACCCTCCTGCAGCATCCTGTAAAATGATCAAGCAGCTACAATCAGACACTCAGCTGTTCCACCATTTCTTCTATATTTCCTTTCACATGTTTGTCATAGAGCTCAATAGCTTAAGCTCCAAATTACACAAACAACTCCCCTTTTCCGGTCTTCTCTGTTTAGAAAGCACTGTACTGAGTTTCACTTAGGCTCAGTGTGCCCCATAAATCCTGTGTCATGGCTGATATGTATTAACCACTTCCGGGCCACAATATGTCTATAGACGGCGGCCCGCTAAAGTGGTTGAAACAAGAACACGTCTGCTGCAGCAGCCGTGTTCTTGGTACCGCTTTTAACAGCAGGCGATTACATACAAGCGATCCGGAGTCTGTACAGCCGCCAGATCGTTTATACCGTGCGGCGCCCCCCCCCCCCAACTGAGATGAAGCTGGGGAAGCAGATATGTGCTTCCTCAGCTTCTTTGGGGTCCCTAGGTGACATTAGGGGTCTAAAAGACCCCTGATGTCTATATAGAGAGGACCTGTCACACCCTATCTGCTATTACATAGGGTGCTTGTTAGCCACCTAGGTGATAGCAATAGGGTTAGTGTAAAAAAAAAAAAGTGTTTAAAATGTATAAAAATGAAAAGTAACATAAAAGAAAAATGTAAAAAATGCAAAAAGTTTTATTAAAGTCCCCCGCCCCCCACGTGCATGCACATAGACACACAAAAACATGCGTCGGTGTGCCTACGTGCGAAAATGACAATTGCGCTACACATGTTACATATCGCCACGAGCGTCGGAGTGAGAGCAATAATTCTAGGGCCCATCAATCACTGATAACACTAAACTGATGAGCGGTAAAAGCGTTTAAAATGTTCCCTATGGGAAATTTGGGGTATTGACTTTTGCGGCTTCACTAGCGAATGCAATTTGAAGGCTTGACATATTTGGTATCCATTTACCCGGCCTGACCGGCAGAGAATGGCACAGCCCTGGACAGTCCCACACCCATCCACAAAGCCCTAGAGACCCCTACACAGCCCTAGAGATCCCCCCACAGCCCTAGAGAGCCCCACACAGCCCTAGAGAGCCCCACACTCGCCCGCACAGCGCTAGAGAGCCCCACACTCGCCCGCACAGCTCTAGAGAGCCCCACACTCGCCTGCACAGCTCTAGAGAGCCCCACAATCGCCCGTACAGCCCTAGAGAGCCCCACACTCGCCCGCACAGCCCCGGTGAGACCCCGCACAGCCTCCCGAGACCTCGTTACAGCCCTGGTGAGACCCTGCACAGCCCTGGTGAGACCCCGCACAGTCTTCTTAGACACCGTACGGCCCGGGTGAGCAAAACAGAGTATGTAGCTTCATAATATTCTGCATTGCTGTATAAATGATTGCTGGGATTAGTAGTTCTCTATAGTTGGTAGTATTCTGCACTGCTGTATAATATATTGCTGGTATTTGTAGTCCTCCATAGCTGGTGGTATTCTGCATTGCTGGGATCTGTAGTTCTTCTACAGCTTGGAGTCAGTGGCAGAACTACCAAGATCGCAGTGGTTGCAGCTGTGACTGGGCCTTGGTGCTCCTCCACAGTCTTAAAATCATCGGCTTGCATTGTTTTAGAAAACCGGTCACATGACGCTAAAAAGGTATCAGTAATTGGTATCGGAGAGTACTTGAGTTAAAGTATCGGTACTTGTACTCGGTCTGGGAAAAATGGTATCGGTGAATCCCTAAAAATATAATTTCTTCCTTTTGCCGGAGATTTAAAGTTCAAGTTTCGGGCAAGGTGAATTTTCCATCTAAAATATTCTGTACAAGAAAAAAAAAAAAGGCAACAGATGGGGGCAGTCACAGAAACCAATAGCTCAGTCTTATAGGTTGTCAAATGTGTCACAGGTAATTACTGATCATCAGTGCAACACTCACAGACTTTCTGTGACCCACAATAATGTGACTCACAAGGCAACTTAATTCCCGTTCTATTCCCCGAAATGGCTCCAATATGCAACAGCTGTTTAATAAGTGCAAAGAAAGACAAATGCATACAGTGCAGTGAGTGAGTGTTGCCACTCTAGGACAGGAAGAGTGTTACTGGCAGGATCACCAGGTTAAGAAAAGGAAACTATTGCAGCCACCACATCTAACAACTGGTAAGCTGCCCTATATTACATTTTTGCTCGTGTTCTCCCTGACAGATACATATTTATATATTCTGCAGATTATGTGATAGACTATAGATGTCTGTTTCTCTCGTGACATAGACATACTGATATTTTCTCCAGATTTTTTGGTCACTCCAGGGATCTCCAGAACATTGTTCTGTCCCATCTCTCCCCAATGACTGACCTTTCCAAATTTCTACAAACCATTGTTCTGTTCCATCTATCCCCTGACAGATACATATTGGCATTCTTCAGATTATTCCATTACTGACCTGTCTAGAGATCTGCAGAACATTGCTCTGCAGCCAGTGGATATTTTGCACAGTAGTTGCACTGTTGATGAACTGACATTGGTGGGAGCAGTGTGTGAAATGGTGCAGTGCTCATATTTAGAATATATTAGTCGCTGGCAGTGAATACAGAGCACTTTCCCCCCCTGGAATTACAGTGGGATGAAGTTCCAGAAGTCAGTTTATAAACAGTGAGGTGTGGTCCGTGTCCAGAGATGTCTCATCTTGTCTAATGATGGTCTGGGAAGCAGACTCAGACATCACCCAGGGAATCAATCTTCCCACACACAGCTCTAGAAAAGCGCCATCAACTGGACAATTAGGGAATACAGACAGCAGTCAGAAGAGTAAATATGGCTCTAGATAGCAGAAAATTAAAAAAAATCTTCCATAGCACACAGTGGACAAAAGGTACAAGGTGAAAGGCCACCGTTAGGTAAATATTTATACCACCTGCCACCAGAACTATATTTATTATATATATATATATATATTACTAAAATCACAAATACATTGTATGTAATATAGATGTGTCTTCTCTTCATGTATGTACCACCAATGGATTCTGCATCTCTTTATAGAACACACAGACCCGTGAAGTCTTTGTGAATACCTCTTCCGTGATTCTCCTGAATATATGAAAATCAAATGGCTGAACACCACATTTTGGGACTCTCTACTATCAGATCATATGAGTGCACACAGATTTTCCATGCATCTAAAATTGGAAAACCTCTTTATAGCAGACCTAGAATCAGAATAAAGGGTTCTATAAAAAAAAAAGAAGAAGAAGAATTCCATTAAATATACAGCGCCTCTGCCTCACGTTGGTGAATCCGAAATGCCAGGGAAGCTGCAGATGCATGTACCACGAATCAGCCCGCCCTGACGAATAAGTATTTCAGAGCTCTTGTTTTTGCGGATGGTAGCAGGTAGCGAGTGCGCTGGACTGATTGATCTTTTCTGACTTGAGGCTGGCTCTAAGTGATGTCAAGCAGGGAGGATGTGACTTCTGGCATTTAGGTTTAATGACCTTTAAAAAATACAGTAAAACCCTGAACCATGCCAGTAAAATGATAAAACAAATATAACTACCTGTATCCCTTGGATTGTGCAATGCCATGATAGGAAACTTTGGACAGCGCCGAGATCACCTGCAAGATAAATAGAAATCAATGTAAATGAACAGAATCCCTACATGTGCAGACAAGAGAATACATCAGAGCAGGAAAGAAAAATATGGCAGCTGATGAACTATAAATCTCAGCATGTCCCTCCATGCCTATGGCCATGTCACATCAGGTAAGAATTCGTCAAATTAGACTGGATATTTCCCAGCACTGTAAAGAAACATTTAAGGGTGGACTTGCTCTGTTCCCACATGAAAATTGTAAATGTAAATAAGGCTTTGTCATTGCTGTCCTCTCCTGAAATGCTAGCTGCTAGCTGCCCTGCTGTCATGTTGATCCAATAAGTGCAATACGCTTGGAGTTACGGTGCCAGAACTATGCATATCAGGAGGTCTGATACTGCTTTGACCTCACTTGTTGCATGCTTGTTCTAGCTCAGTGATTCAAAAAGGTCAATGAAAGCCAGGGATGTAACATTCTTCAGAGGATAGCATATAGCAATAGCAGCGTATATATATTTCACACGACAGGTTCCTTTAAGATGGAAATTTGCTCGTCATGGTGGGAAGAATTTTACAGTAAGTACATAGACTCCACCAGCCTGCAGTGCAGTGTATAGTGCTGTTTATGTTTCACAGATGCACATGAAACAGAGCCGGCCTATATTACAATTATTATTTTTTTAAGCACAGTGAGGGGAATTTATCAAAACTGGAGCAGACAAAATCAGCAGCTGTGCTCCTCTTCCCACTTAGTAGCATTGAACACATTTTATGTAGACACTTTTCTGTCGCTGCAACTCTACACGACAGCATCTGTCTGATTGAGAACAATAAACAGTCTCTATGAATGTTAAACAATCATAATGACCTGGTAGCCAGAGCTCATGTGATCTTTGCCCAGGCTTTAGGCCTCATGAGGGAGTAGAAGCTTTTGTTTTTGGTACTCAAAATATACTTTTATTTGCAAACACATGTGATTTGGTAGTGCCTGGTGTTTATAATAGGGCATCATAAAAAAAAATCCACAGGGATATATATAAAACATGGCCCAGTTATCTGACCTTGTGAGAGACCGTACATCTCGTCTCCTGTGTATTACAGCATGTCACATCTCCGAACCAGCTATAACCTCTCCCATGATGCAGTGGGAGTTTTCTCTGCTCTTGTATGAACTTATGGTGATGATCTCTACGATGGGCTGGGTGCAGAAACAGTGTGTTAGTTTCAGGAACAGTGTTCGCTTATTAGCCTCCTTATTAGGGCTGCAACCAACTATTGTATTAATCGATAATAATAGTTGTCAACTATTCTCATTCTCGATTAGTTGGTTGGATCCCCTAGCTCTCTCCTCCATGCTGGGAGGAGGGCACAGCAAGCAGTGGGCGGGTGCAATAGCCAGCTTGCTATTGGCTATTGCATTGTGAAATGGCCAATAGCAGGCTGGCTATTGCACCAGCCCACCATCTACTGTATTTACATTCAGCTGCCGTCTGTGGAATCTTGTCACTGGCAGCTGTCATTCTAAAAAGGTGGGGAAAACGTAATTTTCGGTTTCGGCCTGACAGATTTTGCTGTGGAAGGTGCTTTGCAGTGTCATGCATTTCAATGGGACCCCAAATGCGCCTCCCACCCACAGTGTAATCGGCCGCACTGGAACGCACAGTACCGCAAAAAATTGTGCATGCAGTTTTATTCTGAAGTAAACGTTATGTTTGTAACACTGTAACACTGCGCTTGTGTATTTTATTTTAAATTAAGGATGGTATTTAATTTTTTTTTATCTGATTAAATCGAAAAAATAACAATCAGTCAACTAATCGATTATGAAAATTATTACCGGTAGTTGCAATCCTAGTTCTTATTATAACATACCAGACACAGTTAAATAAAAACTTTACTTTAATTACAATTCTTCTTCTAATTAACATTCTGGCTGTTCTTATAAACACACTAATTCAGTAGCTCAAAGAAGAGGAATAAAAAACCTCTGAGATTTAACATTTCCCACGAACAGCCCAATTTTGAAGGTTGCAAAGATTTCCATAAATTAGAATTTCCACCTGATTATATAACTGATTCTATTCCGGAGGGACACGTAAAGTAAAATATTTTTCTTTACTCAATGTTATCCGAGTTACATGAGGGAATGCTCGCAGAGCCAGTTATTGTATCTAGTGAGATTTTACCGTGAAATCTACAATTACTGTTGAGTAATTTATAAGATGTGGGTTCCTTTAAGATATTCAAGCAAAACAAAAGGTTTGCAAATCTAACCCCTCCCATTGTCCCTGCTGTCCCATGAGAACTATGCTGGTATCATTAAGTTCAAACTTTCTACTCTAGCCTAATAAATTAGTTGGCAGACACCAGATATTGAGGTATACCAAAGAAAGTATCCCCAACACCCCTCCAGAACTACATGCAACTTATTCTACCGTACAATGCGTCACGCTAGGATGAGCAGTAGGGAGTCTAAACCATGTGACATAACCGGAGGTAACTTTGACCATAGAATAACAGAGGCAGAAATCAACTCACCTGCTGGACTATTGACCAGAGAGGGGCTCTACAAACACACAACAAGATGGGATGGTGGTGGCTCAGTGGAGAAATTACAGTCGCAATTCAATTTAGTGATGTCATTGCATCCTAAAGCAAAAACTGGATACTAGCAGCCAGTGACATGAAAGAGTTAATCTGGCTGATTTAAAAGGAGAATTCCACCTTGTAGCATCATTGCCATACATAGATTTGACTTGTTTGTGCGAGTCATCCTGTTCATTGTCTTAAGGTGCCCACACACCTTGCGATAATTGTACCATAATCGCGGGAAATTCCGCGATCGTACAATTATCGCAAGGTGTGTGGAAGGCGTGCGACCTCTCCTACTGTAAGGTCGCACGACTTTTATCTTATGAACATGTTCAAAAATGTGTGTGTGGCATGTTCGCAAGATAAAAGCCGCACGGGCCGGTGTGCTTCACTGCCCGTTTAGCATTGCTGTCATCGGAAGCCCGCCCCTCAGCGGAGCGGGTTTGCGATCATTGCAAGTACGATCTGCCTATCCAAGATGGGCAGATCGTACGTTTTTTTAATTACCTTACAACCATCGCAAGACAACAGTCTTGCGATGGTTGTAAGGTGTGTGCTCAGCATTAAGATGCCCATACACTGTACGATTATCGTACGAGAATCGCGGGAAATCCCACGATCATACGATAATCGCAAAGTGTATGGAAGGCGTGTTGTACGGTCGCACGTCTTCCGTCGAACAACCAGGTTTGAAAACCCGCCGAGAATCGTAGGATTCTCGACGGGTTAGTGGCCTGCTTGTTCGACAACTGTCGAACGTGCTGGTGTGCGCACACTGCCTGTTTGCAGTCATTGGAAGCCCGCCCCTCGTTGCAGTCATCGGACATAATCGCGAGTATGATCTGCCTGTCCAAGATGGGCAGATCGTACAAGCTTTTAATAAGCTTACGACCATCGCAAGACAAAAGTCTTGTGATGGTCGTAAGGTGTATGGCCACCTTAACGTGCAGGCAGTGAATTGTGGCCAATGCAATTGATTATTTTCGGCAGAAATTCTTACTTGGAGAGCATCAACCACGTGGAAAATGACAAGAGTCAAGCGAGAGTGAAGTGGTGAAGTGGTATTACACAGAAGTCAATAGCAAGTCACGGATAAAATCAAAGAGTCAGTGTTTAAAAGTGACAAATATTTAAAGTCGGGGTGGGAGAAACTGGCAGTAGCAGGTAATATAAATGCAATTGATATTTCTTTAATATGACTTTCCTATTGGAGTCAAATATCTGATAAACAGAGGCTAAAAAAACTCGACTGGGGGAGACATCCGGAAAGAAAGTCAAGAAATGAGTTGAAAAATAATTAGGTGCCACTTTGCTAAATATGAAGTCCCCTTTGCTGTGAAGAAATATAAAACTCTATCTGCACCTCTTTCATGGAGAGCTTTTCTGTTCTATCCCACTGTTCTATCCCACCCCCTTCCCAATTAAGGTAACAATCTGCAGAGTAACTGATCCCCACTTTAATGTTTCCATTCTTTCCGCCTGTGAGTGGGCAGGCAGCTCCCCCTCAGTTGGGTTGCCAGATTTTTTAGAAGTAACACAAAAAAATAATAATCACCAGCTTTATGAGTCAGCAGCTATCAAAAATTCCTTTGGAAGGAGACTTTTGTAAGACAAAGGCTCTTACCTGCAGACAAGCTTGATGAGAACACGAGATAGGCTTCTAGTGTGTAACTGGCCTTTTTCACCTTGCCCATTACTCCCAGCAGGCCCATGCTATGATCTGTGTAATTCCTGATCTAATCATTACCTTCCAAATGGCCCGGAACCTGCAGGCAAAGTGCACTCGGTTCCAAGCTTCCGCCTCTGTAGGTTTGCAGCATGAAATCATGTAAGAAGAGACCACATCTTGCCCAGAGTAAGTTCTACTAAATCTGGCTGCAAATTATTTACAAACCAAATTGAGGCAACATTGACTGGATTTGCTGACTTTAACAGAGCTGCCACATTTCTTGCACCAGCAGTTCACTGACTGATATTAACTGTTACCGGAAGTTCTTTTTAAATTTTAGAAAATGGACTGTAAAGGGTTCAAGTCTCCTAATTTTGAATGGAGTAGGGAACAGCAAAAACCTCCATACAGGTTTATTATGGTCTGTGTCCCTGCTGGAGAAATTCCCCCGACTTCCTACTCTTGTGACCACATAAGAATAACAGTAATAATATTTATTTAATTTGAAGACGTCAAGGCTGGAGCTCCCTGGCACATCACACGACTGCTGTTCATCAAAAACATCTTGTGGCTTCTTTATAGTAGATTTAGGCGCGGAGGGTGGAGCCTTCCCATTACAGTTTACGAGCCAACACTGCAAACAAGCTCATTAACCTCATAAACCACAATCTGAAGAGAAGGCACGATTTCCATATATAGATTAAACCAATATCGAGTTACTAATATTTCTAATTAATTAGGGTCGGGGTACTTTCTTAAACGCTTTCATATCCGGTCTCATGGGGTTGGTCTAATCTGGGCCAAGGTAGCAGTAACATGCCATAAATAATAAATCTCAAACCACTAAGTCCTAGAAGTATGGAGAATGGCCATGTTACACACCACAACAGTTTTTATTATAAGCTTCAAACCATTGCTGGAAGAAAAAAAAAAACTTCCTTTAAATGGCTCCCATGCCTCTAATTGCCGGGAACATGAGACTAAATTTGAATTTTAGATGCAGTGTGTTTCTTTCTCCTCTGCACTTTAGACCTGAACTCTGCTGAACGTTTCATCCATCTGTTAGGTCTGATGAATTTATCACAGACTGACGCTGCCCCCCCGCCGCCCTTCCTCATTGGGCAAAATGGAAAAGGCCCCAAACGGATGACCCATTTAATCTCCTTATAAGTCACCCACGGCACCATATCCTGCCCTCCCCCTGGCCCCCAACAGAGCCAGTGACAGGACCCATGTCTTCTCCTGGTTCACCATATTCCACACATGCTGACTGCAAAACCCAAAAATACCAGAGACCATTTTCAGTGCATCTGAATGGGTACCTGTCATTCCTTTACAGTACAAATGGCCCTTCAACACTGAGTTGGTGTTTTCCTGAGTAACCAATGATGCCCCTCCATAGATATAGAGCAGCGAGTAAGTGTTGTCATGCCGGGAGAGGAAGTGTCTTATAGACAGGAACATCAGGTTAAAAAATACATAAATAAAACCTGAAAAAGGAAACCAATGCAGCTACCAGATCTAAGGACAGGTAAGTAGCAATAATAAGTATAAACATTTATGGGTTAAGATACACTTTAAACAAATCCCTGTTCCAGCTCTCTTCTGTCATCTTTCTAATTTGAGCAGCCAGTACAAACATCCCTACTATATGCCATGTGTGAAATCTCAGATGGTGTGAAGGGGATGGTGAACATATATAACATAAAGTATGTTTGCAGGTTATTGATAACCACGTGGTTTTACAACATGTAGCCATACATCACAATTTCTGCATTGATCTGCAGTTTGGCTGTTTCTTTTGCCCAAACATAGGATGAGCATGACGCAGAGGGGGGAGATGAGAGGGGCCTGGCAGCGGATGCATCCAATGAGTCTATTGATTTCTTGCAGAGAGGAGAGGAACAAATGGAGCTGGAGAAATTGTGGAGCATTTGATGTCAATGCTCCCCCGAGCGTCACTATCCCCAGCTGACCAGCAGACATCAATACTTCATTACCCGAAAAGTTTCCCTTCCTCTCCCTCTGTCAGCGGGAACGTGACTCTGCTGTGCATCTGGGCTGGAAAAGGCTTGATCATCATCACGGGCCCCAGAGTTATTCAAGACTCAATTCCTAGACCCAAAAGACCCCCCCAGACGTGCTGGAGAGTAGCTGTGTGAGACTTATACAAATGATGAATTGTAATAGAGGCCAGAAGCACAGCTAGGCTCCCTCCTCAGGGGGTCCCAGACCACTGCCATTATAATCACAGTTAACGCCAGCAGACCCCTCCGAAATCAGCCCTGCTCATCAATATGACAGTGAATTATTCAGGGCTAATAGTACATGGAGTCATTGTCTGTTCTGCTTGCTTGCCATGCAGAATAAATGCAGGGGGAAAAAAGTATTCTTGCAAAAGAAAACTATTTATAGATGTATCCTAAAGCTTCTTTGTTGTAGCTTTGTCCTCCCTATTCAGCACGGCCTGATATTTACATTCATTTCAAATGCAGATGAAAAGGAGTCACATAAGGTTTTACAAATAATGTGCTACAGTGCATTATTCGCTCCGGGGTTAAAGGGACACTCTACTGGACACCTACATTTCAGTGTTTGGTGGATGAAGACAGCCTATCTCTTGGGGACTCTAGTGATAAAACCTCTGCGCCAAGTTCTCGGGTCAGGTCTGCACTTCTGTTGTGACCATTATGAGGGACATCTACCATTCCGGCTGGATTTTTATTATCTATTTTATATTTTGGAGAATGTATCAGGAGGAGCGGGGATCACACAAAAGTGCCCAGGAACAGCCAAAGCTCCTAAGTGGCAGGAGCAAAGCGAGGAATTATGGTAGGCAGATCTCGCTGTTGGAGTATTAAAGGAGAACTATGAGGTGAGTGCTTTTCACTCACCTCATAGTTCTAGCCGACCTGTGACAATGAGACTGTCACAGGTCGGCTCAGTAGATCGGGAGGTGAGCGAACACATACCGGGTTTGCTCACCTCTCGATCCTGTCACGGCTCTCTGCCGAGACAGGGGAAGGGGCTGGATTCCCCTCTCCGATCTGCCAGCGCTGACTGGCGGAACGGACGGGGGAGGGGCGGGTACAGCTGGCTCTGCCTCTAGATAGGCAGAGCCAGCTGTCACTCACGCAGCTGGGCGGATCCCGTCGTCTAAGTCGGGATCCGCTCCGGCTGTGGCGTCTCAGTATACCGCGAGCTGTAGCTCACGGTATACTGAGCTTAGGGTAACGGGAGGACGCTAGTTTGTGTCCTCCCGTTACCCTAAGGAGAACTATGGGGGAAAACACTGACCCCCATAGTTCTCCTTTAAAGACATGCAAGTCCTCAGGGGCTGACTCAACCCACCAGGCCCCACCCATCATTAAAATATCATTTTTTGGTGGACTGACACTTTAAATGGACCCTCTAAATGTACATCTTGTTGGTGTAAACATTCATGTGTGGTCTGGGCAGCAAAAAATATTTTATAATCCTGATTTGTTTGGAAAATTAAAGAGAGAATATTAAAGTAAAGCTGGCCATACACCAGTAGAATTTGTTAGAAAAGATGTGTTTTCATACTTTGATGCTTCATCACAGCTGTTAGGATCTGAATTTTAGTTCTTGAATGTGGTCATGGCATGTGGCCTAAGCATGGAATAGCAGGCTCTATGAACTCTATGATGATCATTTAATAGGAACTCTCTATAAGGTGTGTTACTCTCTATAAGGTGTGCTCTCAGTCCCTGGAGTATATCAGCTTCTCTTGTAGTACAAGTAAGGGTCCCTACACACCTTACGATTATCGTACGATAATCGCGGGAAATCCCGCGATCGTACGATTATCGTAAGGTGTGTGGAAGCCGTGCGACCTCTACTACTGTAAGGTCGCACGACTTTAAACTTACGGACATGTTCGAAAACCCGCCGAGCATCGTACGATGTTCGGCGGGTTTGTGGCATGTCCGTACGATAACAGCCGCACGGGCCGGTGTGCGCAAGCGCACACTGCCCGTTCGGCATTGCGGTCATCTAAAGCCCGCCCCTCAGGGGGCGTGGCTTGCGATCATCTCAAGTACGATCTGCCTATGCAACATAGGCAGATCGTACGTTTTTTTAAGTACCTTACAACCATCGCAAGACAAAAGTCTTGTGATGGTTGTAAGGTGTGTGCCCAGCCTAAGCCTTGAAATGGTTCACTGAATTTAGCAGTTCCTCACTGGAAAATAATTTCCTGATTTTCCTTTAAAGGAGAACTATGGGGTCAGTGTTTTTCCCCATAGTTCTCCTTAGGGTAACGGGAGGACACAAACTAGCGTCCTCCCGTTACCCTAAGCTCAGTATACCGCGAGCTACAGCTCGCGGTATACTGAGACGCCGCAGCCGGAGCGGATCCCGACTTAGATGACGGGATCCGCCCAGCTGCGTGAGTGACAGCTGGCTCTGCCTATCTAGAGGCAGAGCCAGCTGTACCCGCCCCCTCCCCCGTCCGTTCCGCCAGTCAGCGCTGGCAGATCGGAGCGGGGAGAGGGGAATCCAGCCCCTCCCCCTGTCACGGCAGAGAGCCGTGACAGGATTGGAAGGTGAGCGAACCCGGTATGTGTTCGCTCACCTCCCGATCTACTGAGCCGACCTGTGACAGTCTCATTGTCACAGGTCGGCTAGAACTATAAGGTGAGTGGAAATCACTCATCTCATAGTTCTCCTTTAAGGAAATTCGCTTTTAAATGCCCCACTGAGATTAGCACCATCATGTCTCTTATTATTTTCAGGATGTTGCTCTCAGTCTTGTTTCCAGAATTCAGGATTTCAAAATCAAAAGGCTGATCTTGCCAAGAAACCTTTAGCCCTCGTTCACACCTGAACGTTTTGTAGCGCGTTCTACGCTCGACGAACGCTCTACAAAACGCTCAAAAATATAAATCCAATTGTATTCAATGGTCTCGTTCCCACCTTGGCGTATTTCCGTCCGTCCCTAACGCGCTACAAAACGGCCAACGCCTGAAAAGGTACATGTACTACTTTGGGCCGTTTTGTTGCGCGTTTCCATTGGGATAC